ACACACTTTGTCCTAGTCTTCATGGAGCTTATTGTCGGATGGGAAAAAAAAACAACCCTGGCCCAATACTAACAAATCATTTTCCTACCCTGTTTAGGCCTTACAAGACAGCAATTTCTCAAAGAAGTTTTATCAGGAAACTGAGGAAAAGAAAAAAAAAGCTAAATACAACTACATTCTGGCCACAGCTATCTTGGCTGGCACATATAGCACTCTGTACTTATTAACCTATCAAACTTCCTCTTTTGTCTTCAACTCTTCTCCCATAGTAGCTCAAGCTGCCAAAGAAGACAAAAGGAGGCTAACAGGTTACTGAACCACCATAAGGAAAAGAAAACTAGGATCTACTGTCCCACATTTAAGGTAGAAATGGAACTGTGCTTAAAAGTATATAAACTCACATAACTTTGTGCCAATTTGGAATATCTAGGTTTGACTAGTTTCCTATTTGGGCTGGGGACATAAGATTTGGGAGTTATTAGCATAAGGAATTAGAAGGACAGAAAGCCAAGGGTGAGCCACGAGACCTATGATTAGGGAATAAGCATAGGAAAAAGCTACTAAAAGCCAATAAAGAATAAGTGGCAAATGGAGGATAAAGATGTGATAATAGTATGTTGCTAGAGAGGAATATAAAATTATGATAAAGAGGCCTAACAGCTGAGTTTTTCAGGCATCTTGGGATTACATACACATTCCATTTCGAAGCTTTTTAATCTGGATGAGGATAGATCAACACTGACACAGTTCTGCTCCATGCCGTCACAATTTCTCTTTATTTTTAATATTCTTTTTTTTTTTTTTGAGTTGGAGTCTCACTCTGTCATCCAGACTGGAGTGCAGTGGCACGCTCCCAGTCACTGCAGCCTCGACCTGCTAGGTTCCAGTGATCCTTCCACTTCAGCCTTTCAAGTAGCTGGAACTACAGGCATGCATAATCACGCCCAGCTGACTTTTGATTTTATTGTAGAGATGAGGTCTTGCCAAGTTGCCCAGGTGGATCTTGACCCCGTGGGCTCAGGCAATCCATTCACCTCAGCCTCCCAAAGCGCTGGGATTACAGGCTGAGCCACCGAGCCTGGCTTATTCTTTCTTTTTAATTCTACTTTTAATTTGAACTTAAGGACTGGGACTTTCTAAAATATTTTACTACTAAGCTGCAATTCCTCAAAAGCAGGATCTATGATTCAACTTTGTATCCTCGATGGCCTTTGGCTTCAAATTCATAGTAGATGCATGACTGAATTTAATACATTATTGCTACTTCTTGAGATCTATAGACCAGCAGCTTGGTATCACTTCCAAACTTGTTAGAAACGCAAATCTCAGCCCACTCTGATTTGTTGAATTATAATGAGCATTTTCAATGAGATCTCCTGGTGATTCACACAGGTACAAAATCAGTACTTCTTGATGACTGATTAAACAATGAATAAACAAATTGTATTGTTCTCTTATTTCTAGCCAACATTAGCCCATGTGATACATCTACGTCCAATGATCTTTCTAAAATAATAGTTTATTATGTCAATTCTGCTTTAGAAAACAAACAAAAAAAGCTTCACATTTAACTGAATTTGGTAGTTCTGCCTAAACTGCAAAACCTTTCAAAATCTAGTCTCAAATTTCTACCAAATTTACCTGCATTTTCTTACTATCTGAACTTGTTCTAATCAGTTTGTTCTGACTTGAGTAGCTATTTATTTCTAATTCTCTATACAGTATTTGTTTCTGCTTCTCTATTTTTATTCATTCTGTTTCTTACTTTGATTAAAATAACCCCTTTCCTATCTAAATTCTATTCTTTCTTCAAGTTCTTCCTTGAAACTTGAGAATTTATAACAGTCTTTCTAACTAATCCAGCCTATATGAATATTACTCTTCTGACATATTTATATAATATCTTGTCTTCATAATGATAGAAGAGAATTATGGGTTTTTAATCTCAAGAAATTTAGATTCCATTTCCATCTCTGCTGTTAACTAGTTGTATAATGCTGGGCAAGTTAATTAACATCTCTGGGTTTCAAAATTTGTCTTTTTAAAGAAGAAAACTAAGAACCCTAATAATATGGTGTTCCAAACAGTGTGAGAAAACATGTCTTGGGAAATATATTTTAATTTATATGTAACATCTATAAATGAATGATTTTCAAATATAATTGTCAACTCTCAGGTAGTTGAAGCACTTCTCTTATAATCGGCATAATGCTATTAAATTAATCACTTTTATTTATTTTTTAGTTGGAGTCTCACTGCATCGCCCAAGCTGGAGTGCAGTGGCACACTCACGGCCACCCTAGCATTGACCTGCTGGGCTCCAGTGATCCTTGCGCCTCAGCCTTACAAGCAGATGGAACTACGGGCGTGTGCTATCACACTCGGCTAATTTTTTGATTTTATTGTAGAGACAAGGTCTCGCCAAGGTGCCCAGGCTGGTCTTGAACCCGCAGGCTCAGGCAATCCACTTGCCTTGGCCTCCCAAAGTGCTGGGATTACAGGCTGAGCCACCAAGCCCGGCCTCAATTAATCTCTTTTCAAATAAAAGATACAATAAGCAAAAGTAAACCATCCCAGCTCACTCCAGATAGTTAGAGTCTAACTCTATATTTTACATTGATTGTCAAAATTATGGTAGGTGGTAAGAAGCTGAGAAGTAGAATCATATAGAATTTAAAAACCAGACTCAGTCATTTTAATGACACAAATAGAGCTGTCACTCTATTGCTACCTTTGTCTGTCACAATTGAGTAAGAGTTCAGTGCTGGCTGACATTCTTGAGCCATTTCTCCCCTGTTTTAAGCCTAGGGTAGAATTTCTCCCATGACTGCTTATTTTCCCTGGAGAGTTTCACACAGAGGCTTCCATATAACAGTATTTGCTTTCCTCAGCAAGGGGCTACATAGGAAGAAGAAGAGCAAACGGGGGGGAACCTTCACAGAGTATCAACAGGCTATAGATTACACGTACGTTGAAACTCCCAGTATAGATTTCCATTAGAACAGTTAATTCTTTCCTCTCACGTTCCACCTCTGCATTCTAAATCATTCACTCTGGACCTCTTCAATATAGCATTCTAAGACTGAGAAAGCCTAGTTTTACGCCGTTATTTTGAAAACCGTTCTGTTTGATACAAGATGTTGCTGTCAAATAAAAGGGTATATGCTAGAGATTTGTATATCCTCTGAATTGCCTATACCTGCTTATAGTTTGGTGTTCTTTATATTGTTTTCAAGGTACATTTTGGAGTGAACCATGATATCAACATTAATTATTAGAAAATGTCCACCACAAAAAAAGGAAAATGTCTACCACAAATCAATAGTGTGGACCCCAGGTAATTAAATGTTAGCATACCAACATATGAGCCTTTCAATGGTGTTTTGGCCTTTATAGTAAGATAATAGCAATATATGTAGTATACTAAGTAAATTGTTTTTTTAAAAATACAAAAGTGCAATAATATGAGGTAGAATGGACAGATTATAGTACAGAACAGTTTAAGGTAAAAATGATTAACAAGCGTCTTTTACCTTATAATATCTCTTAGAGGACATTAATATACTTAGAGGCATGCCCAGAACCATCAGTGGGTAGGAAACAACTCTAAATAATCTGGTAATTTTGTTCTCTAGAGTTTCAGGCCTACTTGCCTTATTTCTGTGATTTAAATACCTTGATTCATCCTATCTCTTCTCAGAAGTTGCTTTTGGTTTTTTTAAAAGCTATGTCTGTATCAGGATAGTTGCTACTCCCTTTCTAGGACTAGGACCCTGGGTCAGGGTGACGCTAGGTAACCAGGATAGGTACTAAGTTGGTTGGTTACTCAATGATGAACTTCTTTAGAATGAAACATTCAGGTAAATACAAATGGTGAAGATTTTAAAAAGAATGACATTTGAAGATATATCAAACAGCCTTTACTCCAATGTCCTCAGAGAAAGAAAAAAGGAGGAAAGGAGAACTTCAAAAAGTGAGATAACATAAAAGCTACTTCTTTTCAGGTTACTGGCAAGATACTGTGCTCAAGGTTTGGACTGTGTCCAGTTTGAGCCTGAGATGAAGTTCATAGCACACCTCATGAAGTGGCAGAGCAGAGCTCTTCAAAAGCACAGTTGAGTTCTGGGAAAGCACTCATCTTAAGGGAAGAAGGATCCATGCATAATGAGCTTTACTCAGTAACAAGTCGGTAGTAAGAGATAAAGGATGATTAGACACATCATGGTACTCATCAGTCAGATTTGTCTCTACCAGTCTGATGTCTGAGTTATCACTAAAAGCAGGCATACCCCTAGTGAATTAGAAAGAGGGCCTGGGGAAAACCAGCCAAGCAGCAGTGTGATGTGGTAGTGGGAAGCTCAGAAAGTGCAGTCTTGTTTTTAATCACATGTGATACACCACTGGTGATTCACAGAAATACTTGGAGAATTTAGCAAAGGGCTACATTAATTTAGAAGATAGGGGTAATATGCTCTTAAAGATGGGCAATTACAGTTAACGTACCTCCCTTTGTACTTTCAAGGGCATGAGGCCTGGAGAAACTTGGGTTACATAAGGATACAAAAATCAATACAAAAGTCCCAGAAAACAATTGTACTTATAAAGAATCAGGTAGTGCTAATTCTGACAATCTCTCTTTCTCTTCTCGCCTATGTTTTTCTCACCTTTCTTGAAAGAAGTAAAAGTGTGAATAGGAATAACACTATCACCATTAGCGCCACTGGAATAAAGCCAACACTATTAAAAAAGATTCCTGTAAACTTGACACATTCATAGGAAAGTAAAATATTTATCTTGTTGACATAGAGATTCCAAGAAAATGTTGACTCCTGAAGGACACAGACACTGCTATAATTCTTTGGCTTCTGAAGAATAAGATAAGTGAAAATTATGGTATTAAGTTCCTGTCTCTTTAGCAGCAACTCCACTCCACCTAGTTAGTACTCCAAAAATTCCCATCTGTATAATAACAACTTTCCAAAATAAAGTCCAATACTTACTTGTCTCCCACGATTCCCAGGTTGATTGTGGGGTAACCATGTTCCTGAATTGTTGCTAGGAGAGTTGAACGATTGCTGTCTCGAATCTTTCCTGGTAAGAGGTCATCTTCAGGATTTAGCAGCTACAAAACCAAAAAAAGCACCACAAATTATTCTCTTAGGATAATGTTGCCTATTGCTAATGAAAAAAAAAAAAAGATCTGCTAGGCAGTGTTTAGCATATCTAGCTACCTACAAATAGTATCTGGCATGTAGAAAGTATATGCTCAAAAGATCTTTGATTAAAAGTTGAAAGTATAGGAGGATGAGAAAATGTTCTTACAGAAGTAAGAAAAAAAAAAAAAAAGGAAGAATTTCAATGGTGACTGAACAGCAGACCAAATACTATACCAGCTTGGGCTACAATTTGACAATAATGCTCAGGAGAGATACTGGGTCTGTAATTAGTTACTGGGCCAAACAATTATCTTTTTTCTTCTCAGTATTATTTTCTAATTTGACTTTCAATGGAAAAATCTAAGGTAGAGATTTTATGACATTATATCCTCAAGTCTGAAGAAAATAAGTTTATCTTTTCTTTGATGATTTTGATCTCTTTTCTGAAGTGGGATCAATGTTATAAAATAAGTTAAACTTAGCTACACATACCCATACTCCTGTAACTCTGAACTCAGTTGAAATCTTTAGAATGTAGTATCTAATGTTATGTCTCTGGAGAAAATTACAGAAAACTATTCTATGTAAGGATGTTCCAATGAGGTACAATTGACATAATGACATAGTATCTAGTTATATGAGGGTGTAGGATTTACAGTACATTTTAAGTATTTTCAAAGAAAACAATACAGAATTAGATGGAAGAACATAGGCTGAATATACTACAAGAAACTCGCAATTTTCCCTCTCTAAAAACAATCTCTATTTTCTGTTATCTTATACTTCCAGTTATCTTGGGAATGATGCCTAAAACTTATTACAGTTAAAACTCAAAAGAAAAAAAGAAAAAAATGAAACATAACCCATAATCTCCATACCTTTCACTTTCCTATCTACCACATATTAATTTCAATTTTTTGTTTTTGGCATTGTCAATGGTGCCATTGTCTTCCCAATTTTCAAACAGTTGGCTTTGGATTCTTTTTTTCCCATTTTGTAGTCCATTTTCTCTCCCCAAAGGCCTCAATCCGTTTTTTTTTTTTTTTTTTTGTTTGTTTGTTTTTTTGAAAGTAGGATTTATTAAGAAGACAGAAAAGCTCCCACAGTGGGAGGGGATCTGAAAGAGGTTGCTCAGGCCTCAATCCTTAAGAACATTCTAATCCATCTTCACCTGGCCCTACATTTTCATTCAATGCTTTGCAAGTAATCTCTAGAGCCTTATGTGTTGCTTTGGATTTGTTAAGCTATATAGTTAAACAAATTATCATGCAGTAGAGAGAATATAAAGGCATAATACTTATAGAAAGCAAGACAATCATAGAAAACCTAAAACCTAATCATGGTCCATCAAAAAGGTGAACCAATCTAGACTGACATATCTCCAGAAGATAATGGTCTAATTTGGGCTGAAAGTGAGCAGAAGTGGGGGAATTGAGAAAAGGATCCAAAATTACAATTTTTAAAACTGTACTATAACCTGTAAAATAGTAACTTTTAGAATTGCCAGTGCCTGGTGATACCAAAAAGCATACTGAATTTAAATCAGTTTTATTATTGTTTTCTAACTTTCTACAGAAAACATATTCTCTTGACCTTAGGTTAACTTGCTAGATCTGTTCCCCAGAAATTTTGTTAAAGATGAAATTTGTTAGTAGGCAATGTTTCCTACGGTAACAATCTCTGATTGGTAACTTGCGTATGGACTAGGAAGGACTGCACATGAACTATAAATACCTAGTGGGAAGCCACAACTCTGGGCTTCTATGAGTGTGGTGACATGTATAACTGAGTGATTACTTTGTGGGGCCCCTGGAAACAGCTTAAGATTGCTGGAAGAAATATTCATCCTATGTAGGATGTGGGGCTTCTAAGACAGGGTGGCTCCCACACTCCTTCAGTATGAGTCTTATTCCCTGGCACCTGAGCTATCACTTGAAGAACAAACAGAGCAGCTAGTAGATGACTGTGTGGACTGCTAAGAAGATTAGTCCCACTGAAGAAGAAAGCCTGATGTTGCCCTGCTGGAGGCTGAGTTGTCTGTTCAATGTCTTTCTAAGTAAACTAGTTCAAGGCATGGTGTATTTGGTGTATTCATATCTTGTGGGTCTGCATGTTTAATTAAGAGAAACCTCTTGCTGGGCATTTCAGAATGTAAATAAATGGTGAATATATATAAATTGAACAAATGCAAGAGGTTGGGAATGTATGCACACAATCTCATAATCACTTTATGGTATCACCTAGATTTTAAGCATGTACAGTTTGTTGAAATCAACAAACGTCCAAATCAGCTATTCACTGTTAGCTATATTTGACAACTCCACAATCCTAATTTTGAAATTATTCCCTCATTCTTAACAAGCTTATGCAGTAATAAAATACTGAGCAGGTTTTAAATAGTATACACTGTTATCTTGTATAACATTCTTTGGTTTGCCTAGGACAACTGTCCTGCTTACCAATGTGCCACACTGGATTCAAGAAGTGGACATATGTGAAACCATACGTACCATGGGACATCAAAACCAGTATATAAAGAGAGCTTGCACTGTGACTGGTGAATTATGGCCTTGCCACATAGGTAAATGCAATTTCTTTTGGCCTCTCAGAAAATAAATAATTTTTTTTGCCTATTGTTTTCTGGTATCTGAGGATCTCACACCATCAGAGAGATACTATATTTATCTCTACTTTTTTTTTTTTGCCAGTTTCTAAAACAGTGCCTGGCACAGAGGTATCCAATGAACATCTATTGAACAAAACTAAACTTTGTGATCATATAAAGTCATAACAACAGCTAATTTTGCAAGGGAAAAGGTGAGGAACATCAAGCTATATGGAACCGGAGATGATAAAATTTAGAAGCATTATTCTCTTGAAAAGCCATGGAATAATTTAGTATAGTAGGCCAGGGAACAAGTCATGCAGAAATAGTCAAAGTCTCTTCAAGAATAGTCAGGGCTGAGTGCATGCAACTAAGATAACAAACTCTTCCTTAGATTCCATGATATAAGTACCATCTGTACTCCTACCCTATTACCAGTAAATAGTTTAGAGTATAAAAGGTAGCTTTAAAAAAATACTATCAGTATGCTTTGGGGGAATAACTGAGGAATACTAGTTCAGCCTTACAAAAGCACTAGAAAGAATATGGCAATATAGCTTTAAAAAAGTTTCCTATTAACTAAACAGTTACTTATGAGCAGGCTAATTCTACTCAGCTTTCTCAGACTCCATGAGCTTACTTGGATGAACAAAGCATATAAGTAAATCACAAATAAGAATGTTCATTGTGTTAACCAGTTTAATAAAAATTTCTTTCTGATGCTAAATATAGTTTCACTGTGTAGATCAAATTGAAGAGAATGCTTGTTTTGGGGTTAATCAATAGTTTTAGGAGATGACTGGTGCACCTATATTGGGAAGTAAGCAAATCTGAAATGTTGATTTAGATCTCCATCAGCAAAATAAAATCATTTATTCTTTTCTTTTGCTCTAACCCAAAGAACTACAAGGGTTATAGAGAGACTTTTGAAAATTTTCACTTCCAAGATTTTAAGAAGTGAAATACACACACACACACACACACACACACACACACACACACACACACACACTCACTCACTCACACACTCACTGAGCATGCTCTGATTTCTCTTCAGAACAAATAAATCTTTTGCCTTTTACTAAAAAAAAAAAAAGTGAAAAATAATGTTAATGAAGGGCTTATTTTTACCACAAAGTTAGAGATTTTACAAAAAGTTATATTTATCTTTTCTTTAATAGTAAGTAAGGCCAAAGAAATTACTTTTTAAAATCTCAATAGTTTCTGATTATGCTGGAAGGATTTGAGCTTCTAGCATTCATTTTTCTGTCTCTCAGTTTGACCTTAGAGCCTCTGATGGAAGTTTTGCATAACCTAAGCAGAACAGGAGACAGGGCATTTCCGCGCCCCCCGCCCCCCAAATGAGTGACACCAAGCCATTTATTGCAGTAATTGCTACACAGATTTAGGAACACAGAAAGTCAATAGTAACCTAATGCTACATCACAGTGCCTACATCTTTCACCTCACTTCATCTCATCATGTAGGCATTGTATTGTCTCACATCATGACAAAAAAAGTGATTACACTACAAAAAGATATTTTGTGAGAGAGAGAAAACTAGCAGTCACATTTGCTCAATTTTATTATGGTATATTGTTATAACTGTTCTATCATTATTAATTCTTACTGTACTTAATTTATAAATTAAACTTTATCATACATATGTACATATAGAAAAACACACAGTATATACAGGGTTTGGTACTATCCATGGTTTCAGACATCCACTGGCGGTCTTGGGATGTATACCCTGCAGATAAGAAGGGACTAGTGCATTGGTTTGCTTTATAGTGTTCCCATTAGTGTCTTAGGATCTCTTTACTTTTGCTTAGGAATTTTTTTTGCTCCCTTGACATAATGATTTCAAATGACCTGTCTGTAAGCTAGCTGGTTCTTCTTTTATTTTTTTTGAGTTGGGAGTCTCACTGTGTTGTTCAGGCTGTAGTGCAGTGGCACAATCACGGCTCACTGCAGCCTTGACCTCCTGGGCTCAGGTGATCCTTCTGCCTTAGCCTCCTGAGTAGCTGGAACTACAGGCATGTACTACCACATCTGGTTAATTTTTTAATTTTTTTTAAGAGATGAAGTCTAGCTATGCTGCCCAGCCTGGTCTTAAACTCCTGGACTGAAGTAATCCTCTCACCTTGGCCTTTCAAAGTGTTGGGATTACAGGCATGAGCCATCATGCCCAGCCTGGTCCTTTTTTATACCCAATTAATCTGCTGTTGAACCCTTCTAGTGAAATTTTTTTAGCTCAGTTATTGTCTTTTTCAGCTCCAGAATTTTTTTTTTTTGGTTTATTCTTATAGTTTTTATCTCTTTGTTGATATTCTCATTTTGTTTATGCATTGTTTTCCTGATTTTGCATAATGGTTTTTGTGTTCTCTTTTAGCTCATTGATTATCCTTTTTTTTTTTTTTTTTTTGAGTTGGAGTGTCACTCCGTCACCCAGGTTGGAGTGCAGTGGCACATTCATAGCCACCCCAGCATTGACCTCCTGGGCTCAGGTGATCCTTCCGCCTCAGCCTTCCCAGTAGCCAGAACTACAGGCATGCACTGTCACACCCGGCTAATTTTTTGATTTTATTGTAGAGATGAGGTCTTGTCAAGTTGCCCAGGTTGTTCTTGAACCCATGGGCTCAGGCAATCCCCTCACCTCGGCCTCTCAAAGTGCTGAGATTACAGGCTTGAGCCACCGTGCCCAGCCACATTGATTATCTTTAAGAAAGTTGTCTTACATATCAGAGTAAAGAAGTCTTTACAAAATATATTCCAGTTTCAGAGGATAGAAACTATTTAATTATCTTATAAAAATATATCATTTTATACTTGATTCTGGTGGCACCAAACACAGCAGTATTCAAGAGGGCCAATAAAAATCAGGTACTTATTATTATAAGTATACTATTATATTTCACTCAACACTGTTGTGAAAAAACAAAAGTCTTGCTTTGTTTTTATTTTTTATTTTTTTTGAGTTGGAGTCTCACTCTTGTTGCCCAGGGCTGGAGTGCAATGGCATGCTCATGGCCACGGCAGTCTTGATCTACCGGGCTCATGTGATCCTTCTGCCTCAGCCTTCCAAGTACCTGGAACTACAGATGCACACCACCATACCCGGCTAGTTTTTGTGATTTATTGTAGAGATGAGGTCTCACCAAACTGCTCAGGCTGGTCTTGAATCCCTGGGCTCAGGCAATCCTCTCACCTCAGCCTCCCAAAGTGCTGGGATTACAGGCTGAGCCACTGCACCCAGCCTTTTTTTTTTTTTTTTTTTTTTTTTTTTAAAGAAAGTTGTTTCAAATTCTTTTTTGGGTAGTTCAGAGCTTTGCATTTCTTCTTAGGATTGGTTTCTGGAGATTTATTTTGTACCTTTGAATGGGCCATGTTTTCCTGCTTTTTTACAAACTGTGATTATTATTTTTTTAACTGAGATTTGGGCTTTTCAAAAAACAGCCACTTCTATCAGTCTTTATGGGCTGTCTTTGTACAAGGGAAGCTCTTCACCAAGAGAGGTTCTGGGACCTCTCAAACCTTTTCTGGGGATACATCTCAGGTCTTGTGCATGTGCTTTAATTCCAGCATATATGGCTGAGGAAGTTATCCAAGAGTTCTCAGAAAGAGACTGACTAAATTTCCCTTTCTAAATCAGGTCTGAAATGATACTTTGACTTATTCTGAATAGTATGCCACTGTCTTTAGGAAAAAAAATTGATTATCAAATCTCTCCTGGTGATTAAAGATCACAAGGAATGTCATAAGGCTAGCCATGGCATCCAGAATCACTGATATAATTTCTACCCAAAGATGGCCCATCGTTCCAGCATTAGGATGGGTACAATCCATTCTCCTAATAAACTAAGTACGAGTTTTCACAGTTTAATACCAATAGCTAGCAGCTAACATTCCTTGTGTATGTGTTCTGAGTGTGTAGAAATGTCACTGGTTGTAATATTTCGTTCTAATAAATGGAAGGAAACATTTCTTAATACACAATTTCTAGTTCTTCTTCCTTCTTATCTTCTGAGCTTGAACTATCCTAGAGTCAATTTTTTATTTCCCTATTACAAGAACGTGGACCCATTGGTAAGATCTATAATCCACAATGTTCCATTTTCAACACAGAACAAATGTCGGAAATACATTTATCTTAAAGGCCCTCTTCTCTCCACATTTTTTTTTTACCTCATTCCCTGTTGACATGACTGCAACCACTGGAAACTTATTAACTTCAACCTCTGTGACACCTACAGTTGCCAGAAGACCAATCTCTGAGGGGCCCATGTGGGTTCCTTTGGCCAAAACGCATTCCCCTCTTTTAATATCATGGCCGATGGGTCTGAAAGTCAAAGCAGAAGCATAAGCAGTATGACTAAAAATAATATTTTCTCAACTCAGAGCAAAATTTTAGTGTCAAAGGAGGAGGACATTCAAGGGGAGAAAAAAGTCAAGAAATGAGGCAGTAGAAAAATAGTGAAAGGAAATTCTAAAAACTCTATGCTTTTTTAATTGTAAAAGTTAGATTGCACAACAGAAAACAGAAACAGAATTTGTATCTATTAAGGCTAAACAGGAATATGTTACTTTATATTTTAAAATTATTTTATACATTGCTTTGCACTATATTATTGTTAAATATGCCAACTGCAAACTTTCTTTGATATAAGGCAAGAATTTGTATGAAAATAGCTAGTGGCATTAATGATAAAAAGTTCATAGTTGGTTAGCTTTGTGGCAAGGAGAATAATGCTAATAAGGTTAATAGAGGTAATTTCCATTTGGACCATTTAAGTTACACTGGTGTGCTACCACAGAGCTGGGAGAAGTGTAATTTTGTTAGAAAGAGAAGTGAGCAAGTTAGCATTAATAAAATCAGGGAAAACATATTCCATTGTAAAAAAAAATTTCAAGGTATATGTACTATTTATGGTAGGACAATAGCTTCATCTTTGTATCTAATGAGCAGATTATTACATTGTTATTGGTAGTCAGTAGAGGATGTGCTATCAGCTAATTGTGCAAATACTCAGTTCTGGGATTATCTGAGATGATACCAAATTCTGGATTATCTAGGGGTGGGAATGGGTGCTTCTGGATTTCTAGGGGTAGGATTAACTGTGGATTAGTAGGTTCAGGAATTTACTTCTTTATTATGTTGCTTTTGACTATTTTGCTTGACTTTACTATCTTCATTAAAAAGTAGGCAGGTCAGATATAGGAAGAGTAATTCAGAAAATTTTGCTTGTTAAAGCCCTGAAAGCTAATGAGTAATTACCATAGCTGCAAGTTTATAATAGCCAGACTCTCATCATGTAGAAATAAAAGTTTACTATATATTCTGTATGTTTTGAATTTACCTGATATCTTGGCCTGGTCGAGCTTGCACCAGAATTCGCACTTCAAGTTCTTCAGTGCCCTGTAATAAAAGCAGGTCATGTAATTTCAAACAGAATAATCTAATAGACTTTCTGAGCAGTAGAATTTAGCTACTCAGATGCTTTTACCATCAGATAGGCCCAGCATGTATACAAATATAGAAAAACAGAAAACCACTTGCTAAGCCCTTTGAAATCACTATAGTTTCTAACACAGGTTCCTGAAAAATTAGAGGGTTTGGTGCCAAATAAATAAACATTTTCTCTAACTTTCATGCTCTTAAAAATATACCAATTCAAAATATAACAAACACAGGATTCTCAAGGAATATATGTATGTGTATTTTATATATATCTATATATCTATATATATATATCTCCTAATGAAGTGAACGTACATGGAAGTGACCTCTTTATTCTGTTCCTATGAATCGTGGGTTCAATACCATGCCAAGTTTCCCAAATACCTGCAAATTCCAGTGAAGGACTTATAGTTTGCCTGAGAGTAGATTTCTGTACATTAATGACAATCATCAATTTTACATATATTGAATGTGACTATTGTGACACTGGAGCTGGGTATTGTCATCTGGCAGTCTGTGGATGCACGTGTTCAGATTTCAGTGCTCTGCTGGCTTCCCTGATGCCAATAAATCCACATGCACAGTTCTGACCATATGCAATATGATCTGTTTGCCAAAAGCTGAATTTTTTTTTTTTTGAGTTGGAGTCTCACTCTGTCGCCCAGACTGGAGTGCAGTGGCCACTCCCGGCCACCGCAGCCGAGGCCTGCTGGGCTCCGGCGATCCTTCCGCCTCAGCCTTCTGAGTAGCCGGAATTACAGGCATGCGCCACCACGCCCGGCTGATTTTTTTATTTATTGTAGAGATGAGGTCTCGCTGCCTAGGCGAGTCTCGAACCTGTGGGCTCAGGCAATTCACTCACCTCAGCCTCCCAAAGGCGTGGGATTACAGGCTGAGCCACCGAGCCCGGCAAAAGCTGAATTTTATAAGCCTTACATGTGCAAAGTTAATTAAAAGGAAAATCTCCAGATCAAAAAAAAGAAAAGTGGCTGTCTCTCAGCAATGGCCACATTTTACTATCCACCCAGCCCAAAATAATATGTTTGTTTCCATTTACTTATTTATTTTTAGAAGTAGGGTCTCGTTCTGTCCCCCATGCTGGAGTACAGTGGCACAATCATAGCTTACTACAATCTCACATTCCTGAGATCAAGTGATCCCCCCACCCCAGTCTTTCAAGTGTACCACCATGCCTGGCTAATTTTTAATTGTAGAGACAGGGTCTGATTGTGTTGCCTAGGCTGGTCTCAAATTCCTGACCTCAAGTGATCCTTCCACCTTGGCCTCCCAAAGTGCTGGGATTATAAGCATAAGCAACAGAGCCTGGCCCATATATTTAACTTTGGCTTTTAAAATGTATCTCTCCAACTTCTTCACAAAACAAAGAAGATAGCCAGTCATTAAAACCTCAGTTTGAAACTGTTCTACTTTTATTAGTGGGCTATACTCTAGTTTCAATAATTTACCACTAGTTTTAGTGAGATAAAGGCCTGCTTAGATCCAAAAAGATCTCTTTTATTTGGGGCAATGGGGGAGGGGGACTGACATAAATTTAATATTTCCAGGATGCCATTTGGCAACACAGCTTTTCCCTGAATTATAGAAAACCAGAAATGGAAGGATCACCTGGTTCAAATGCTTGGTTCAGTGTAATATCCAATTTGCCCAAGTGTTCTTTGTTAGATTCTTCTCTATCCATTTCTGATTTCATGAATTTCTTCATGTTTTATCAGAAGCTAGTCTCAATGACAAACTTTTCAGCTAGAAGGTATGTCAGCCATTACTATTTCTGCTCTTTTATCTTGAGGTAGTTTCTTTCCCTGCTTGCAGGTAAAATTTCTTGGGTCAAATGTGATCCCAATTCTGCTATATAATAACAGCAATGATCATAAAAATCCCTCTATAGCAAAGGATTTTCAAGCTTAATTTTGCATTTACTGGAGACCCATACACTACAATGCAAGATCCCAACATAATAAAACTGGGTTAATCTTACAAACATTACAGAAAATGGGTGTGACATAATACTGTCACATGCACAACAGCACGGGAAGACCTGGTGTTGACTTACATCATCTGATTCCCTGATAAGTTCGGTATCTTCCACTTGTACTACTGCATCAGCACCGCAGGGGATTGGAGCACCTGTTGTAACCCGCATGACTTGTCCTGGCATTACTGTCTGAGTAGGCTGGAAATACAAATGTGGAAAAGACAGTTGATTTACTTTGCTGTTGCAAAGGAGAAGTCTATAGGAGATGTGACTTTTTTTGGTGGAAATTATAATACTTTATCTAAAAGAAGATTATTGGATGTGACTTTTTAAAGAAGGAAACCATAAAAGAAAAGTCTTATGGTCTTATTTTGGGCTAATGTATAAAAGCTACCCACAAACAGATCACTCACACCAAAGAAGCTTTAAATGGATTTAAGCTGACTTCATATGTACTTTTAGGTAATGATGTCAGCTGTCTTTCTTGGTGCGCTGTTTTGCTTTGGAAGAACTGCTGCTTACATTTGTCACTATTGCCTCTCATTTACACGAGAATTTTCCTAATATATGTAGAGCGACTGAGAGTCTGTGAGAAAAAAGTGCTAGGCCATATAATGTTATGAATAACAATGATAAAAAACCATCCCCTTCATAATTTATTGAAGTTCTGATGCTTGTGAAATGTAGTACTTTATTAACTAAACTTTTTGATTAAATAAAGGCAAGCCAGAAATATTTTAATTGTTGCTCTTGAAAATCTTTCTAAAATGTATTGGCTCACCTGTCAATTACTAATAAGAGTCTAACTAATGCAATTTAATCATTTAAAAATGATTCCAGTGTCTGTAATGATCTGGGTTAAGTATTACTTTTGAAAATGAAAAACAAGATTTTCATTGTTGACACTCTTGTGTGGATGGTATAAAAGACAGGACCTGCCCTGCTAGCTTCTTGCAACATGGGAAAATGTGTATTTCTGTAAGATTCACCTGACAGATTAAATCTGTCTCAGAAGAGTCACTTGTCAGGGGCCATGCTTTAGGTCAGAATTGGGAAAAGGAATGTTTCAAATTTCCCCTAAAAGAAAATCCTGAGACAATATTAATACCCCCCCCCCAAAGATACCTTTCCAAAGATGTATGCTTCCTAAATATAGTCATGTGCTGCATAATGAAGATCTGGTCGTCCACAGACAGCATATCTGACAGTGGTCCCATAAGATTATAATATTGTATTTCTATTGTACTTTTTCTATGGTTAGATATATTTACATAAACAAATACTTGTCACTATTACACTTGCCTACAGTATTCAGTACAGTAACAATCTGTATAGATTTGTAGCCTAGGAGCAACAGGCTATACCATGTAACCTAAGTGTATAGTAGGCTACACCATCTAGACTTATGTAAGTACACTCTATCTGGTCACACAGTGTAAAAAAACACCAAATAACACAGTTCTTAGAATGTATCTCCATTGTTAAGCAATGCATGATTGTGTTTAAAAACCTAAAATCACTACAACATGAATATACTTACCACTACTGAACAATATGCTTAACAATAGTTAAGATAGTACATTTGATGTTATTTTTAAACCACAAAAATAAAATAAAATAATCACATACATACTTTGGAAAATGGTTAAGGTAAAATACCACATCACTGAAAGCACAAAGTAAAACTGAACATTTATTTATTAGAAAAGTCTTAAAACTCTCCTCTCCATACTATCACTACTGCAAACAAAATACTGTCAATAACTAATATTTATTGAATTCATGATCTATGCTAGGTAGTGTTAAGCGCATATATATTCCAGAATATAAGTGCTATAAAGACAAAAATGTGTTTTATTTTCTGTTTGCCTCTCCATATCACATAATCATTCTCTGCCCCATGCTGTGGCCCACAAGGCTAACCTTTATGGATGACTTTAACCAGCTCCTAACATTCTGGTTTCTGGTTAATTTTAGTCAATGAGAGGGACCAAGAAGAGATTAGAGGGTAAGAGGCAGAGAAAAGTAGAGTTTTCATTCCTCATGCTCTTTTCCAGCTGGACTGTACTTTGGTGATGATTAGGGCATCTCTACTACTGATGGCCACAGTTACTGTTGGGTGGTCCTCTCCCATAGCTAAGAATCTTCTCAGGTTCAGGTGCTATTTTTCCCCTGTGCTCCTCTAGACCAAGAGGGTGGTAATGGAATCTTGCTGCTGCTAATACCTGGGTGCTTCAGGTTCTTTTGTTGGTTTCCCTTAATCCTATCTGGATTTTGGAAATAGTCGCTACATTAATCTTTTTAAATCATCCATTTCCCAGACATATTGCTCTGTCATGGCAAGGCCTAGAAAGTGTCTCACACATGCCTTGATGAGCTGAGCCACTATGCATCTCAGAGGGGAGCTGATTTAGTACTCCATGTCCCAGTGAAACAGAGCACAGGTTGAGCCAAAACACCCTGACCTACAGGTCAAATAATTCTAGTACCTTGCCTCCCTAGTGCTATACTAACCCCCTAGCATCTGAACCACTGAGGCACACATTTCCTGGGGGAGCTGAATCATTGCCTCAGAATCTGGGATCTGCTGAGCCCCACTACTAGAGTCATTACTGTATGGGGCCTCATTTCTGGAACCGTAGTTGCCACTGAGCTCTACTGGCTCAGATTCCTTAATTATAGCTGCGCCCTGCTCCCTGGCCCAAATCTCCAGATCATCTGTTTTCTCCTGGAGTTGGGTCAGTGCTGTCACCTGCCTCAAAGGGTACACTCATAGCTACAGCCTGGGAGCCTGGACCAGAGCTGCCGGGGGAACCTCAGAGTCACAGATCCTGGCTCTGTGGACAACATATACCCAACCATACCATATAGGGTGAAACTCCACCCCAAGACCCACCTGCCACAATAGGTTCACAAGACCCTGAAGCTAAACTCTGGCCCACAGTCACCCCAAGCACCATACCTTGAATCCAGTGCCACTGCAGCAGTTTGTAGGTTGTGTCAGATCTGGCACCAAGAGGGATTCTCTCAGCTAAGTCTCCCCATTGTGGAGAAAATAAGAATAGGAGGACCCCAAAGCCCTTGACACTGAGAATACTAACAACCTATGCCACTGTCACAAACTTCTATGGCTTAGACCACTGAGGCATGCACAGTTATTACTGACATTCAATGCAGCTGAAGAAGCTGCAAGGAGATTATATCACTGCACCTGTGTGGAAAATCATCTTTCCATATCTTTCCCAACTGGCACACAAAAACCTTACTGTAGCTCAAAGTTTGGAAGAGGTGACAGTTCTACAGGTGCACAGATAGCAGGGAAATAAGAACTATGAAAAAGGAAGGAAATGTGATATCATCAAAGGAACAAAACACATTAGAAACAGATCCCAATGAAAAGGAAATCAGGAAACTGCCAGAAAAGGAATTCAAAATAAATAATGATCTTAAGGAAAGTCAGCAATATAAAAGAAAATACAAATAGAAAATTCAACAAAATCAGGAAAACAATTCATGATATGAATGAGAAATGCAAGAGATATAAACCATAAAAAGAATCAAGTAGAAATCCTGTGACTGAAAAATTCAATGAATGAAATAAAAGCACAACAAAGAGCTTCAACAGCGGAGCTGCTTCAACAGCAACTTGATCAAGCAGAAGAAAAGATCTCTGAACTTGAAGATATGCCATCTGAAATTATAGTCAGAGAAGGAGAAAAAAAATTAAAGAATGAAAAACAGTGAAGAAAGTCTACAAGATGTATGGAACATCATTAAGCAAATATTTCTAGTATCCACATTCTAGAAGGATACAAAGAGGGAAAAGGCATAAGAAACCTATTTAATGACAGAAGAGCTGAAAACTTCCCAAGTCCGGGGAGAGATATGGACATCTAGATCCAGGAAGTTCAAAGGTCTTCAAATAGATTCAACACAAAGAAAGTCATTCATGGGGGAGTTCTGGTAAGATGGCAACTGCACAGGTGGAACTGTGAGACTCTCTGAATGTGAGTTCCCAAAAAGACTCTTACTTTCCTTCCCCCACCCCCCTGCCCACTGCCAGCCACACGGTCCGAGGCCTGGAGACCCTCGGTCCCACACAAGGCCGGCTATTGCAGCCCTCTGGCTGCTGTTGCTCCACTATAGGTGTCCCTGGCTCCAGCCACGAGGAGATCCCAGCTCCCTCTCCGGCTACAATATCTCACCCGGCGCCAAGTCACTGCCTGTGGAGGCCCCTGGATACCGCCTTGTGGAGATCTGGGTTTCCTTGCTGGCTACACTGATCTGCCCAGCACTCAGCCGCTGCCAGCTCCCACCCTGACTGGGCTCCCAGCCCAGGGTCCAGTGCTTGCTCCTCAGAGTTCCAGCTCCCCACCCTGGGTTCTGGGCCCCCACCCAGCCCTCTTTCAAGTTGCCATCACCCAAGGAGGCTCTAGGCGCCCACCCCTCAGAGATACCAGCTCCGTTTCTGGCTGAAGTGCCCTGTGTGGGGCCCAAAGCTGCTGTCACCACTCATCACCTGTCCTTTGGAGCTCCGGTCCCACTATGGCTGAGGCACCCAGCGTGCGACCCCATGATTGTGTAAGGGAACAGTATATCTTAAGGAGGTGCTGATCAGCCGCTCTCAGCTTCAGAAGAGAGAACTCCCAGATCCCTCCTCCACCCCAGGCTGCTGGTGGCACACCAGATCCAGCGCCCAGCTGTGCCGCTGATCCCCGGTGCCTCACACACCAGCACAGCCCATCATAGTGGAATGCCCACGGACCTGGATGAGCCAAGAGAAAAGATGGATGGAGAGAAAGGATCCGTAAAAGAGGAGCTGCCCACCTTGCCCATTTTCGAGGCAGAAATTTGCATTGACCCGCCCACTTATGAGCAGCCTCCACCTTGGTTTCTAATGTAACATCGTTAAACAGGAGACAAAAGTTCCTTCCCTATGCTGAATCAGATACAGGCAACTCAGTGTTGCAGACCTCTCAGGCAGCAAGCTAAAGGAATAAACCAAAGCTGGGAGTAAATTTATCTGCCTGCAATTAAAGCAAAGGGGAGAGGCTAGAGATCAGAGCTGAAGAGACTTTAGACACTCAGGAAAGATTCCAAAGCTAGTCTGGTTTCTTATTTTGACTTGTGATTTTATCATTTTGACTGTTTGTTTTGTTCACTTTTGTTTGCCTTTTGATTTAGAATACCTGTTT